TTTTAATATATAGATATATATGTGTGCTCAATTTGTTTTTCATTTTCTTATAATTTTGCGTTTGTTTATCTTCTCTAATTCTTGACAATATGGTTCATTATCTTTAATTTTCTTTTTTTTCTGCCGAGTTCATTTTGCTTAGCTCATCTCTATATCTAGATTGTTATCTCATAGATATATTCTAACTGCTCTTTGCTCATCTATTGGCGCTTAATTTATTCATTTTTTTATTCTTATATGCTGTTGCTGTCAAAGTTAAGTATGGAACTGTAAGAATTTCGTTGTATAATCACTTCATACAAGCTTTATCTTGAAGGATTTCGTTTTAGTCCAACCAACATAATTATTTGTTCTTTTAATATATAGATATATGTGTTCAATTTGGGGGATTTTTTTTTTTTTTTTTTTTTTTTTTTTTTTTGGCGTTTGTAAATCTAGTCTAATTCTTGACAATATTGTTCATTATCATTAATTTTCTTTTTTCTTCCGAGTACTCCACACTGAGTATTCAAGCCACCTTGTTTATTGTAGACAAAAACCATAGTAGTATCTAGTTATTTCTTTTCCTTCCATTGAATCAGAAAGGAAAAATAGAGACATTTCCTTCCCTTGGGTCATGTCTCACTCATCCCGAACTCTTAACTCTTTCATCCATCTTTCTAGTCATCCTACCAAACAAGTTAAGAGTTCGGGACGAGTGAGACATGACCCGTTCTAGTCATCCTACCAAACAAGTGAAGAGTTCGGGACGAGTGAGACATGACCCGAGGGAAGGAAATGTCTCTGTTTTTCCTTTTTGATTCATACAAGTAGATTCAGTTTGGTTACTCTTAGCCTACTTATATGAATCTGCCTAACACAGTCTTATGCTCTGTTTGGTTGGAGTGATGAAAAATTGGATGGAAAGGAGAGGGGAGGGATGGATGGAGGCCTAAGGCATCCTTAGAGAAGGGAAGGTTTCTCTCTCACATTTTTGTATGGATGGTAGAAAGAATGAATAGGGTACCATTTTTTTTTTTTTTTTTTGGGTTGGAAGGAATGGAAAGAGAGTTTTTATATTCTTTTTACTAATATATCATTATTATATATAATTATAAAAATTAGATATTCATTTCAAATTTTTAGAAAGGTTAAAAATGTAAATTATTTAATAATTGTTAGTTATCTTTTTTCTCTCTTCTTTCCCCAATTTTAGGTGGATAGAAAATTATAAAATGAAACGATGATGCTTCATCACTCCTTGATTCCTATCGAAAACATTCTTCCATCTTTCATCTCATTCATCCCTCCTTAATCCTTCCCTCTAACCAAACATAGCATTAATGTCATTTACAATTCTTTCTATTTCAATTCCTATAAATTCTAATACAAGTTTATTTCAATTCCTTTTAGGTTATATTTGGCAAACATAAAATTGAAATTGAAAAAAAATAACTTAAAAAATTAAATCAAAATTTTCTTCAATTTCAAGACTTCAATTCCAATTACAACACTCGAATTCCATACCGCAAAACAAAATCTTATTTTACTTGCCCTTATTCCTTTTCTTCAACAACCTTGGATATCTCTTTGAGTCTTCCGAAGACTCCGGTATGCTTGCATTCTTTCTACAAATCTTTTGTAGAAAAGTAAGGCAACTTGCACGTGATTGATTTTCTAATTTCCACGCTCTTTTTTTGTGTGTTTTTTTTTTTTTTTTTTTTTTGATGACACAGGAACTCCCCCACGCAGGGCCCCTTAGGGACCCACCGTGGGGTACAAACCTGGGGGGTGGAGCCCTGCCCAAGGACACCTCTGGGTACGCAGAGGCTAGGAGTCGAATTAGGGCCTCGGATGTGGAAGTCCATGCTCTAACCATCACTACTATGCCCCCGGGGGCTTTCCATGCTTTTTTTTCCTTTAACACAATTTCCTCGAAATTCTTGAGGGGACCATTGTGATGATTATTATTAGTAGGTTTGGTGTTGACAATTAAATAGATTGACGGAAGTAAGCTATTTTTATATTTTGATACCAGTTTTGTTTATGGCATTTTATTTTAGTAAAAAATAAAATAAATATTTTAATAATAATAAAAATATGTTTGGTAACGTTCATTTATTTTAAATATTTTGAGAGCAAATATATGAAAACATATTTGATAAAAAAAAAAAATGTGTTACAAGTTTAAAATATATAATGGTTAGTTTAAAATGTCATTTAATTTTTTTTTAATTTTTTTTTTATACTATTAATCAAGTTTTAACAAATAATATAGTGTGAAAACATATAAAAACACCATATCAATGTTTTAATTTGTGACAATTATTCACGAAACATTTTGGCACTGTGCAAAACAAAACAACTTTATTATCATTTTTATTGAATTTATTTAGGGTCTGTTTGATAGGAGTTTTGTTTTAACCGGAAACCAAATAAATATTTTGAATAATAACTGAAAGTATGTTTGGTATCGTCCACTTGTTCCAAAATATTTGAAAATAAAAACATGAAAACATATTTAATCAAAAAGTATTACAAGTTTAAAAAATACAATGGTTAGTTTTAAAATGTCATTTTAATTTTTTTTTTTTTTACTATTCATCAAGTTTTATCTAACGCTATCGTATGAAAACATATAAAAACACCATATTAATGTTTCGATTTTTGCCAACTATTCACCAAACATTTCAACACTATACAAAACAAAACAATTTTCACTTAATTTTTTTTTACTATTCACTGCTACAATAAAAAAACAAGTTAACAATTTAGCACTATACAGAATAAAACAATGTTTCGAGTTTTGTTTTAATCGGAAACAAAATAACATTTTTTAAAAAAAAAAAAAAAAAAAAACATTTCAACCACTTTTTCGAATTATTATTATTGTTTTTGAACAAGGAATTTTTTTATTGAACAAGAACGAGAGGATAACATCAATCCAAAAAGGGGATTCGAAAAGCTCCTTCATATTATTCTATCATGAAACATAGTACCAGATTTATTTTAGTCCAATTTAATTCTACTAAATATATCAGTCTCTCTCTTGGCCATTTTTATATTATAATTGATTTATCTTTTGTTTTCCCACATAGCTGGCCATATCATAATAAAATAGGGGTACGTGCAAAAAAATACTTTGAATTATACTTTTTATAATATTTTTACCCCATAATTAAAAAAGTGTACAAAAAATACTCTTATTCTTTTTAATTTGTGCAAAAATATTCCTTAATTAATATAATGCCCATTTTACCTTTTTACTCCTTCAAAAATACCCCTACCAAACCTTATTTTCCACCCCCGAAACCGCAACCACCAGGCAAGCACTCATACCCGCAAGACCCAACAAACCACATGAAACTGGGTTTTGATGCACCGGTGATGAATTGGGTCTCTTGAAGCTCAATGAAACTGTTCCAAGACTGAAGCAATATGAACTGAAATGCAGCGAAAGCTGGGTTTTGATGCACCGGTGATGAACTGGGTCTCTTGAAGCTCAATGAAACTGTTCCAAGACTGAAGCAATATGAACTGAAATGCAGCGAAAGCTTTAAACCCCATGAAATTGGGACTCGGCATAGCCATTCACGAACACGCAGTGAAAGCTTCTCTGCTCTCAAACCCATTTGTCGCGGACACGCAGTGAAAGCTTCTCTCCTCTCAAACCCATTTGTCGCCTGCGTTCTTGTGGATATGTATGGTAAATGCGACTCCCTTTGCAGTTGTTTGAATGTATCAATGTTACACCAAACGCATCGACATTTAAATCAATTATAGGCTGTTTACCAGAAATGGAAGATGAGTCGTTTAAGGCTATTATGTTCCATAGACGAATACAAGATATGGGGTTGAAGTCGAATTTGATTACAGTTCTTGCTTTGCTATCCTCATGTGTAGGCATAACAGCTTTGAATTTGATTAAAGAAATTCATGGTTACTCCTTTAGGAACGACATTGATCCTCACCCCCTTAAGTTCTAGACCCACTTATCTCTATTCTACCCCACGCCTCCCAAATATGGTTCATCTTCTCTCTCCTCTGTCTTTCTTTCTCTAACTGTGCCCTCAAGAAACTGGGTTTGGTAAGCAAAGTACTATGTTTGGTAAAAATACAATCCTGTAAGAACTAAAGAATTTACTCTGTTTGGTTAGCAAGAAAAAAGGTAATTCAGGTTGTTTTCACAGCTCCGTCATTGAAGCTCACTCCGTCAATGTTCGGGTTTGTGTGAAAGTTGCGAAGTGGACGTTTGGGGTTACGAATTGATGGATTGGTTGATCAATTTGTTGATGAATTTTCTGGGTTCTTGATTGCAGTAGGCCAAATTGGTGAATTGGGTTGTCATCTTCTGTTCCTCCGGCGAACTGGGCATGGTTTCTTTCTAATTTTCAGTCCTTTCCAGCCACGATTTAATTTGGTCTTGCTTGTGGGTTGTTTGTATCGGGTTGGTGTTGGCATTGTGGGTATTTTGTAGCTATCCTTTTCAGTCATTTCACAAAATATTAATTTTTTTTTATATATTTTTAGATGTGTAGTTAAGGGCATTTTAGTTATAAATGTTAGTAGGACTTATTTGCATAAATGGTATAGTTTGAGGTGTTTTTTGCACACAAGGGATGTAATATACAATATAAGCATATTATAGGAGTGTTTTCTGCATTTGACTCTAATAAAATAATATTATAAGTAATACTCTCGAAAATAAAAAAGAAAAACAATTGGATTCTCGTAGGAAGAAGAAAAAGTCAGTTTCCTACCCACTTTCTCTCACTTCAGCTCTATTCCCTTAAAAAATAAAAATAAAAGTGAGAGCTGGTTTATGGATCTTTTGTTTTTTTTTGGAAGTTAAGGATGATTTTATAAATAAAAATATGCAATATTTACTTAAGTACAGCTATAAGAGTGTCTGGCCCACAAACCGTGAACAGCCCACTCGCAAAAGCATTTTACAACCCAAAAAGTATCAAGTCCAATAATAAGATCCCATATAGCAACAAAGACAATATTAGTCTAGAATGATGAAGACTGTGCTTGTCTAAGGCATACCCACAACCGGTGTAAAGCAAAAGGGTACGAAACCTTAATTCGAGCGATCAGGGGGCTCCGGTGGCAGTTTGATGAACGTCGGCAAATCCCATTCAAGCTTCAACCTTCTTGCACATGGTGAGTCTTTAACCGAAAGTAGTTAGTAGTTTTTGCCTAACAAGATTAGTGATCTGTTTGAAGATTGTGACTTGATTGTTTTTTTGATTTTTGAAGATTCGGTCATTGCGCTCTTGCCAAATCCTGTTGATTACAGTAGATAGCACAAGCTTGTTGACTGAATTCTTTAAGTTATTACTTGACCAGCGAATCAACACTTGATTAACCAAATTGCTTTACCGAGAAGGGGAAAAATGAAATTTACATTTGTTTTGGAGGGCGATCCAAATTGGTTGAGTAAAAGAGCAGGCGAAGAACAAGTGATCGTGGGTTTCATCAACAAGACTGCAAAGATGACACACTCTGGAGCCCGTGTAATGACTCATACTTGCTCCATCAAGGGTGGAAAGCCTTCTTTGTACTACAAGCCACAAGGTAAATTTGCATCTTGGGATGGAGAGGTTGTTCCAAATCAGGTGTTGCCAAGGTTTTGGGTGGCTGTGTGCCTCAAGCCATGCAATTGTGTAACTCAGTGAGTATTCCCCTGTAGGTGATGGAATCCAAATGAAAAAGTCGACATTGGAGATCGGAGGAGGAAAATTACTAATCTCAAGGAAACGTTGAATGAGGAAGTCTGGGAAAATCCATTCTCCACCAAATTCTTTTGGTTGACAGCAGGCAATCCAAGTCACCTTAGCTCCAGTGTGCTTAAATTCCGAGCCAGACCAAAGGAAATTTCTCATAAGGTTGGTGACCTCAGCTAATACTGATTTAAGTAAGAGAATAGGCTGGACCAATAGTTTATCATACTGTAGAGGACTGATTGGATCCGTTGGATTTTGCCTGCATAGGAAAGAAACTTAGATGACCAATGGTTAATCCTTTTAGTGATCCTCTCTACTAGACCTCAACAATCATCTGCTTTTAGCCTAGTGGAGAGCAGAGGGACACCCAAGTATTTTATAGGTAGTGAACCACAATTAAACCCTGGTAGATCCTTGATGCTATTATTGAGAGCTGAGCCCATTCTAGAGACAAAGAAGGAATTTTTTGAGTTGTTGGTTTTCATTCCCGAGAGGACAGAAAAATGGTCTAGGGCATGCTTAAATGTGGATAAAGAGGCGAGGTCTCCATGGTTGAAGAGAAGTAGGTCATCAGCAAAAATAAGATGTGAGATAACCAAATTTCTACATCTTGAGTGGAATTTGAAGTGATGAGCGCTGAAAAGTGCGCATTTAAACCCCTTAAGCTTTGGTATTTTAGAACCTTTATCTATCTTACTTTTCTGTTTTAGACTAATTTTGTGTTGTTGTCCTTTTTAGGTGCTTATCCCCAAAATAAGCTAATTCTGCCAAATAAGAGCTTAAAAGAAGCTAACTCAAGCTGGATGGAAGAAAGGAGCAAAGTGGAAGCGGAATGAAACAAAGTGTGAAAATCAGCATGTTCGATCGATCTCAAGAATACTCTGATCGATCGAAAGTTCATCGATCTAGACTCTCCAAGATGGATCCAAGCTCTTTTGTCCTTATCCAAAGATCCCACAAAGTTTGATCGATCCAACAATTCTCAGATCGATCGAGAAGATTCCATTTTATCCTGTTGTACCACCCTACCTACCACTTTTGTCTCTTTCCCCAAAATATCTCAGATCTGTCCTTATCCAAAAAGGCGCCGCTATGGGAGGATCGATCCAGCCAATGTTTGATAAATCTCAGCTAAGTTCGATCGATCTCAGCATAAGTTCGATCGATCGAACCCTCTCAAGTGCGAATTAAATTAATTTCCAACTCATTAAGAGTTGTCTCATTGTGCAATCATTGGAGGAGCCCCTGTGTACAAGCCTAGACCATTGGGTGTGACATTTGAGCTACCTATATAAGGATTATGAGCCACTTTTACATATATGCTTTTTAGGAGTTGATAGATATAATTTTTTATTATTCTTAGAGAGGAAGAAAAGATAAGAGGAGGCTAGAGACACATTCTTGGGAGGTCTTCCATCTACTTCAAGAAGAAGAGTATTTCTACCATGGAGATAGCCCTTGAGGGTTGGAGGACACCATTCATGAGTGGCTAGACATCCTCTTGGGGCTAGAGTTAGCCCCAAGCATGCTTTCTTTACCTTGATTTATGTATTTTTGAGGGGATTTGTGTAGTAATACATGTTTTGACATCTTTATATACATAGATCTTGTTTATTCAATGATTTGTGTGGTTTAATTCTTCCAATTGATCATTTCATTCTATCCATATGTCTATGTATGCTAGAATAGATGTTCAAGTGTTGATCTCTATCTCTTGTGTTGTTGATGCATGTCTATGTATGTTGATACTATAGATCAAGAGATTGTCAAGACATAATACTTAATAGAATGCTCTTGTGGTTTATTTGATGGTTCATACTCATTTCTTGATGGATTGTGCCTCTCCCTTAGTTTAATTAGTTTTATTTTCATGTCATTAACTTAGATGTAGTATAGTTACCTTAGTTGTTAAATGGGAGGATAATCCATGCTTGTTGTTTGATATTCCATACTTATGAATGCAAGTAGTATATTTCTCTAATTATGTGATGTGTTTGGATTGTGAGCTTAAAGGAAGGATTAATGACTTAGTTTGATATATTGTGCTATTCATTGTGTTATTTAGACAATATACACTTAATTGGTCATCCATGCTTGTTGAAACAACCACACACACTTACTATTGTTGCAACATACGTTTTTCCCCTCATTAATTATGAATTAAGTGTATAGAAAAGTGATGCTTAGTGGTGATCTCTAAGTCCCAAGACCCCTTTCTCTTGTTTTCTCTATCCTTTAATTACTTGTTTTATATTGAACTTGCTTAATCTTAATTGTAGTATAATCAACCAAACAACCTACCTTTAATCACTCGACCTACTAACCCTATGCATTGTTTCCATTACTAGTAGCCCTCCAATCCCTTGGGACAATCCTTACTCACCCTTGCTACGTTAGTAGTAGTAGTAGTAGTGGTTTATATAAATTTATACTTGACCCAAAAGGCTTTTCTTGAACTGTGCATTCACTACATTATTTTGGCGTATAGGACGGCTACCGCCAAATTTTGGTGCCTTTGTCGGGGATTGAATTGGCAACGCCGTGTTTTGGAAACATTTTGGAATTAGTACTCTTTTGATCGTGTCTTTACTTTATTTTTATTTTTGGCTACTTAGTGTGTTTGTTCTTATTTGGCTAAGTGAAATTGAGCAAGGAGGTTAAGCAAAGGAGAATTGAGAAGCCAAGAGGAGCTAAGCTAAACACAAAAAGGACTAAAAATCTAAAAAAATGCAAAGCAAAGCAAAGCTTGGAAGTTGAAAATGAATTGAAGTTGCTTAAGGACCCTTTGTAAGATCTTTCTAACTCAAGCTCTAGTTAAATCGTCGGCCCGCGTGGAGGCTTGTTTTTCGTTTCTTAGATAAATCGTGAGCCCGCGTGGAGGCTATTTACTTTTCTTTGCATATTGTTCAAGCATGGGAGCATTGTATGTGGAGATTTGTCGATTGATTTGTTGTGGGGGCGAAGTGTTTGTTACTTGCTTATTTGCTTGGTATTTATCTTTGCTAATGCATGCATGGTCGTAGGTCATTAAATCCTACTCTTATCCCTCTTAATTTTCATCTTGAATCGGTTATTCGTAATCCTAGGGGAAAAGATAGTTCTCATCACTTCATTTCACCAATAGAGAATTTGAATGACGACCATGTGGAGGACCTTGGTCACATAGAGCAACAAGGCATCCTCCACCCTAATGTGTATCATGAAATTGTCCAAGTACCATTAGGCATGCCTAGACCATTCATCCCACCATAACAAGAGGGCCAAATTCCATTGGTAACGCCTCAACCAATCTTTGCTCCACAACCTCCCATGGTTCAAGCTAATCAAGGTGCTCGTGTAGCACCACCAATTCCATTGCATTAAGAGACCATTATGTGCCTAATGAATATAATGCACCCACTTGCATTCAATTGCCCCCATTTAGAGCACATCACTATGAAATCAAACCACAAACCATTCAAATGCTTCCTAACTATCATGGACTTCCTAGTGAAGAACCTTATAAGCATTTGGATGAGTTTCTTGAAGTGTGTTCCACCGTGAAATACATGGACATGCCGAAAGAAGTTTTAAGACTTAAACTCTTTCCTTTCACCCTTAAAGACAAGGAAAAATATTGGTTCAATAATCTTAGGCCTTTTTCGATAACTGCTTGAACGGAAATGCAACAAGAGTTCTTGAAAAAGTACTATCCGGTTTCTAAGCCTAATGCCATGAGGACTTCAATTAGAGAATTTTCTCAAGGGGATAGGGAAATGTTTCATGAGGCATGGGAAAGGTTTAATGATTTGCTTAGAAAGTGCCTTCATCATGACATACCTAAGTGGCAACTAGTTTAATATTTCTTTGAAAGTTTACCGGATAATCATAAGGGTATGGTGGATACATCTATGGGTGGTTCTTATCTTGATAAGCATGAAAATGATGTGTGGCAATTGTATGGAAATATGAGTGAAAATTCCATGCATAGGTCCTTATCTTCTAAAAATGGTAGAAACCTAGGTGGAAGGAAGAATGTCGGCTTATATCAAGTTGACAACTCCAATGACATAGCTGCCGAAATGAAATCCTTATCTTAAAGGTTTGATCAATTTTTGATCAACCAAAATTCGGCGAATCAAGTATCTTCCTCCCCTACTCATATTCATCATCGTGCATCTAATGAATCTTGTATGACTTGTTCAAGTGTCTTGCATTCTACTTCCAATTGTCCCCATGGACATATGCAAAGTGAGCCCCATGAGCAAGTCAATGCTACATTTGTTAATCAAGGGAATAATCCCTATGGCACTCATTATAATTCAAGTTGGACGAACCATCCGAAATTTCTTGGAAAAGCCAAGGGGAAGGCTCAAACCCTCCCCAGGGTGGTTTTCAAGGGAAGTATGTTCCACCACCAATGCAAAGCCAAGGTTCCCAAGGTTTTAAATCATCATCATTTCAATTTACATGGCAATCAATTTTCTAATTCTCATTTCCCTAATCAACCATCATATTCTCAAAGAAATTCTAGAGAAATTTTTAACCGCTCTAGGCACTTTAGAGGCGAACACTCAATTACTTCATTCTCATTCTCAATCCATTACTAAGCTAGAAACCCAAGTAGGGCAAATAACTAGTACCTTAAATGCTAGAGAGAAGGGAAAAATGCCTTTAAATGTCCCACCAAAGCAACAATGTGTTATGGAGACTCATTCCTCATCAAAAGGTCCCACAATTAAGCATGTCAATGCGGTGACAACCTTAAGAAGTGGGAAGATTGTGGACAACCAAGTAGGTGTGTCCAATGAAGAGAGTGAACCGGTGCAACCAAAAGTTGACACCCGTCCCGTTTCACATCATATTCCTACTTCATTGTATATGTATAATCATTCAAATGAGAAAGTGTTAGAAAATGATTTGAAAAGTGAGTCCAAAATTGATTTAAATGATGAATTGAACAAAACTTTGAAAACGGATTTTAAAAATTCTTGTGTTGATGATGTTTCAAACAAAATTTTTGAAAAAACTTTTGAACCAAGAGCTCTATTTCCGGATGCCTTGAAATGATCCATTTATCTTGATAAACAAAAGACCAAGACCAATGAAATCATTGAAATGTTTAGGCAAGTGAAGATTAATCTTCCACTTTTGGATGCATTTAAGCAAATTCCGGCTTATGCCAAGTTCTTGAAAGATCTTTACACCCAAAAGAGGAAGAACAAGAGCCAAGCACCTAGGAAAGTGGTCTTGACCTAGCAAGTGAGCTCTATTTTGTAATATAACACCCTCCTAAAGTTCAAGGACCCCGGTTCACCTACTACTTCTTGCATCATTGTTGACCATGTCATTAATTGGGCTTTTCTAGACTTAGGAGCAAGTGTTAATCTTCTTCTATACTCGGTATATGTCAAATTAGGCTTAGGAGACTTGAAACCGACATCGGTAGTTTTACAACTTGCAGACCGATCCATCAAAAAGCCTCGGGGTATCCTTGAGGATGTCTTGATTAAAATTGATAAATTCTTCTTCCCGGTCGATTTCGTTGTCATTGACATAGACCCGATTCTAAATCCCAAGAGCCAAATTTCTGTTATCCTTGGTTGTCCTTTCTTGGCAACCGCAAATGCCAACATTAATTATAGGACAGGGGTAATGAAAATCTCATTTGGGCATATGAAAGTGAAGTTGAATATCTTCAATCCGATCCCAAATTCATTTGACAAGTATAAAGAAGTAAATGTTGTAAAAAAATGTCTAGACAATGAATGTGAAAGAATGGAGTCTTTGCTTGAAACCAAAACTTCAAAAAGTTCATCTTCAACCTTAAATCCAAAGAATGATGTTTCAAAATCTTGCTTTGAGAGGGCATGGAAGCCCAAAGATCACATTGACAAAGGACCAACAATTTCCTTTGAACCTAATCCAACAAGTTCTTTAGGGAACCATTTGTTGGGTGGAATTCAAAGTACCTATCACCCCATTAAGAAGGGGATGCATGACAAGATGTTTGATCCGGGCTAAAAGAGCCCAACGTCTTGCTAGAGATATTAAAGACTAGTAAATGCTTCGTAAAGTTTACAACCCTATTCCTCCCTCATTTCTATTTTATCTTTCATTTCTTGCGTCGTCTAGATATGTTTTGGAATTCATACACATGGCTAGGGTTTTGATTGAGTATGCATGCACTTTCATTATGAAAATAGGCATTTTGTCCCTATTCGATCGATCTCAAAAGAAGTTTGATCGATCGAACACCCATCCCTGCATCCAATCATTGCTCTGTTCCATCGATCTAAAATTTCCTACATAAATCAGGCCTCTGTGTATCGTTCAAAAATTTCTTCGGATCGATCTAAAAGTTCCTAGATCGATCCAACTTTTTCTTGGATCGATCTTCATTCCACACTTAGAAAAAAATTTGAGATCCATAAAAAAGGCTTATCTGTGCATCGTTCGAACTTCTATGCAGGTTTTCACCTGTTCGATTGATCGAAGTAACTTTCGATCGATCTCAGCTTGATCGATCTATGCCCCTTTGTTGACTTTTGTTTTGACTGCATGTCAAATTCAAATTAAAAAAAAAAAGAAAAAAAGAAAAAAAGAAGAGAGTTTTCAAATTTTTCAAAAATACAAAAAATATTTTTGGTTTATTTTATTTTATCTTCAAAA